AAACTGAAAAACATAGAAGTTGGTGCAGTAAAGACAAAATTAGATTTTAAGATTAAAATAATGATTTGCTGAAAAGGAATATTTAAAATAGCTGCTTTTTGATTATGGAATTTTCTTAGAATTGTCTTTCAATATGCAATGTAATCTAGAAAATAGAATTAGATTTTCTCGACATCTCGAAGTATTTATACTTGATGATGTAATTAAATAAAATAAAATAAGAACTAAAAAAAAAATGTAAAAGGAAATAAAAAGGATTTGACAACTCTTAATAGCCAGTTGAAAAAAAAATGAATGTTTGTTGGAAGAAATAGAATCAAATTTTTGTTTTAAAAAATTCTCAATCGATTTTCTATCAATTCAGAACTGATTTTCAATTTGTTCAAACGTCAATGAATAAACCATAAAGCTTTAATAATGATTGAGCTTATTTGAGATCGATTTTCCAATTTATAGAATTTGAAAAATAACTACAGTGTGAATAGGTTCTATATCTGTTATGTTGAATAGACTTACAAATGAGGGAGAATTTTATTTATTTTTATTTCATAATATTGATCAAATGGTTAAGTTTTGTAAATTATATTTATATTAGTCGAAGTCAATTTGATAATACTGCTTTAGAATAAACAAGTAACAACAAAAAATGATAAATTTTAAAGGATACTTGATACGTTCATGTCCGAAATGACTTAAAGTTAATAACCATGGAGCAATGGTAAAAATATTTAAATAGATATCCATTAATTTCAGTAATTTTTTGCTATTATTTTACATTTTAGATCGTAGATTAAGTAGAAATTTATGTTCAAATATATGCATATAGATTTCTGTTATTTTAAGATAATCAGTAATACTGATAGGATTATTTTACCCTTAGGTCGACGTTTAAAAAATATAGTGCTTTAGATTAGAATAAAGAAAGCTTACTTCTTATTGGTGTTATTCATTTATGTTATTAGGCATTATAATAGCTCAAATGATAAAAATATTTTTTATTTTGATAAGAAATGAAATTAATTGAAAAACACCTTTTGTTTTGCAAAATTTTCAATATTATTAATAACAGTGATTTATTTTTATTGTAATTTGTTTAAAAGCAGTATATATTAAAATAAAAGTATATTGTTCAATCCATATTCAAAAACACTATGAATTTTAACAATCTTGAGGGTTTGTCAAACTATCATGATATCGATATTTCATCTCAACAACGTGACTTTTCTAATGACACACGTAACGAATAAGTTTCAAAAGAAATTATCTGTTGAATCATTTGAATAGTATCACAAGATAAATGATTCGTCATTGATTAATCTTTTTTTTTTTTGTATTGACATACTTTTAATTTCTCTCAAACAATTCTAGAATGTCTTGAATTCATACTTCAAGAATTAAATATGTCAACCGTTTAATTATTGAATACATGGTAGATTTTTGTAAACAACGAATTGACATAAATAAAAAGTAATAAAGAAGTTTCTATAGTATTATAACGATCAAGTCAAACGAGAATATATATATATATTTATGTAAAGAAAACGACAATATCTTTGTTAATAAAAACGATCACTGATCTTAGAAGGATAAAACAAAATAAATCTACAATCAAAAACGAAGAATTAGTGAAAGCATTTGATTTATTCGTTAATATAGTAATCGATTATATTAAATCTTATTTCGATGACGACAGTGAATTTTATGAAAAGTTATAATTTTTTAATGTTCAATTCAGATAGATGATTTAGATAAGGATCAATTGTATAGTGAATTTTGTGATATTAAATGTTTGTATGATAATTTGAACAGGAAAAACATAAAATTACGTGATCAAGTCAAATCATTCATCTCGAGTAAAAGAATTAATTTTTCAGCATCCAAAAGTAGTCATCATAGTGTTGTATGTGATGATGATGATAGTGACAAAGAAGAAGTTATTTCGTCGTCAAAAAACCAAGACGAAGATTTGATTAGATCTGATAAATTATGGGCTTATCAATTAAATATCAATCCAAATTAAAAAAAAATTTAAAAAATACTTATCTACTATATTTTTTCAATTTCATGTTCAAATTCTTATGTGGAGTCAATCTTCAGTCATATGAATCGTTTATGGTCAGATTATTGCAATCGAATGGATATACAACTAGTTCATGCTCAGCTTTTTGAATAAGAGTGAATGTTAATTATTCTTGTGAACAATTTTATAAACATGTATTATCTCAGCACACAATTGTTAAAGCAAATTGGTTTCTTTCATAAAATTTCTTAACCTACATATTATATATGTGGTTTGTTTTTGTTATTTTTATCGTAAACAAGTTTTGTGTTTAGTAAAAACGTTTTATACTTTAACAGTCTTTTATTATTTATTTTGTATTAGTTAAACGATATGTTGATTGTAATGTCTTTCTTTATAATGAAATGATAAATAAAATACCTTTGAAAATAAAGTATGAATCAATAAACGAGAACCAGCAGAGTACTGGATGCCAGCATGTAAACATCATTTCCACTAATTCGCAAAAATCACACTTTCTGATTTATTTTTGTTTTTCAACTTTTTGATCTGGTCACTCTTGTTGATGTCTGTTCGATAGATTGAAATTATCAAGACATTTATTTTGACTCATCCAGAAAAGTTTTGATAAAAATATGAATAAATTTCAAAACAGTTAAAAATCAATTCATTTAAAAAAAATTCTTTGTTTCATTTCAGAAGAAGAACCTTGATAGTTTGTCTCTGTTAAATTTAAGTGCATCATCTATACATCAACTTATATTTATCAACAATAGGTGTTACAACAACATTTATAAAAAAATAAAACTCGACACGTTAAAATCTGATATTCTTTCAAGTTTTTAGTAACATAATGATATTGAATTGCTAAATAAGTTGTCTTTTATACATGTCCATGTAAGATTTGTTTTCCAAAATCATTGGAAAATGTCTTCTAGAATTCAATAGAACAAAATTAGATAACGTCTATTATCAAAAATGATTTTATCTATTTAACCTAGTATATCATCGCTCAATTTCTATATATTATTCACGTACTCGATTTTACAGTTTCATACGTACTTTATTCTGCTATTTTGAAATATATATTTCTGATGGTTGAAACCAAAAGACATTGAAACATCATAATCCATAAGTAATAAACTAATAAATAAAGTATAACTCAAACAACTTACAAAGATCTTGAGGGTGTGGTAAAACCACTATTGTTCCATATGTCTCAAAAATAAATCCACCTCAACTAAAAAGAAAATCTTAGATATCTCTATTCCTCTTAACAAAAACATCACTCAACGATGTGTCAAGATTTCCTTGAACTGCATATCCACACATCATACAACAAAATACATATTGGAAACAAAACCAAAACAAACGTAACTTTTAAGATGACTATATTATATTAATACTATTTGATAATAATACAACAACATCGAACTACATTCTTTTCCACAAATTCCACATAGAGAAATACACCACCGTCAATTCTGATTACGAACTCAAACAAACAGGCGACCACTCAGAACTCTGTACATCATAAATGTATATCCCACACAACAAAAAACATTCACATCGTTTTCTACGAACGCAAACAAAAATCGGTAATAAGAAGTGGCAGAAATTCTATGACTCTGTAAAACAATTTCCATACACCATAAAAAACCTTACAGTAGTGCAAATAAGAACAGCCACAAAGAATTCATTGACCAACCTTCCATCAAATCATAAGCTGCACGTTCAGCAACAACAAATTTCCGTTCATTCCCTAAACATACCCCATCACAAAAGCCCACGCCATTTCAATGATATCACCCATCTCGTCACCAGACGAAAAAGTTTCATAAGGCGTGTACTACGTTGAAAGTGAAGTTCACGGTTCTTCCGGTTGTTCTCAAAAACGGGATTTGATTCTAATTCAAAAAAGTCCCACGAAAAAGTTGCTGCTCTCAATGATATCACGCATCTGATGATGAGAGGAGAAAGTTTCATGAGGCGTGTACCCCCTTTAAACTGAAGTTGAAGATACTTCCGGTTGTTCTGAAAACGGGAATCACTTCTAATTCAAGAAAGTCCCGCGAAGAAGTTGCTGATCTCAATGATATCACGCATCTCCTGACGAGAGGAGAAACTTTCATAACGGGCATAAGCCATTTAAAGTGAAGTTGACAGTGATTCCCACTATCCGTGAGAGAAAACTAATTCGGCTTGCAGAAAACCCGCGCTGAAAAGAGCTGATTTCACTTGCAAATGATAGAGCTATGAAAGTTAGTAAAAAAAACCATTTTTTTAATACCCCCTACCTGAGGGTGTGGGTGTGTTAATCACTCAACAATAAGATTCAGAGCAGAATACGACGCGTTTCGAACCTTGCTTAAGGGTTCGATCATCAGGTATCTTAAGAATCTTATTTAGACTACATAAAAAACAAAAGAAGATCATCAAGTAAAACCTAGAATTCAAAACATAATAATAAAATTATTTCANTAATTATTGTGTGCAATACTTTAATACAATCACTTTAAAACAAATCTTTTTTTTTGTTTTTGGCGTATTATAGATGTTTTTTCGACAGATTGAAATTATCAAGACGTTTTATTTTGACTCATTCAGAAAATTTTTGATAAATATATGAATAATTTTCAAAATAGTTAAAAATCAATTCACTGAAATTATTTTTAATTTCATTTCAGAAGAAGAATCTTGATATTTTCTATCTGTTAAATTTAAGTACATCGTCTATACATCAACTTCTATCTATCAACAATGGATGTTACAACAACATTCCTAAAAACAAAACTCGAGACGTTAAAATCAAATGAACAACGATCAGATATATTCAATTTCCAAATAATTTGTCTTTTATACATGTCAATGTCATTTATGAAGACCATTTATATTGTGAAGATGAAAATAAAATTTGATTCTTAAATTCATTGGGAAATAATCCGATCAATATATCGTTTAAGAATTCAGTCTGTTTAAGTTTTTAAAAATTCAAAAATTTCTTCTAGAATTCAATAGAAGAAATTAGTTAATGTCTACTATCGTAAATGATTTTATCTATTTAACCTACTACACCATCTCTCAATTTCTATGTATTAATAATAGTGAAATTTTAAAACTAATCGTCTGTGAATATTGTTAGTGTACTCTATTTTGAATTTTAATATTCATTTTATTGTGCTATATTGAAAGACGACTATAGTAGAATACCAGATAAATATTTCTAATGGTTGAGACATGATAATGTATAAGTAATACAATAATAAATGAAGTATAACTCAAAAAACTGAAAAACATAGAAGTTGGTGCAGTAAAGACAAAATTAGATTTTAAGATTAAAATAATGATTTGCTGAAAAGGAATATTTAAAATAGCTGCTTTTTGATTATGGAATTTTCTTAGAAGTGTCTTTCAATATGCAATGTAATCTAGAAAATAGAATTAGATTTTCTCGACATCTCGAAGTATTTATACTTGATGATGTAATTAAATAAAATAAAATATAAAAGGAAATAAAAAGGATTTGACAACTCTTAATAGCCAGTTGAAAAAAATAATGAATGTTTGTTGGAAGAAATAGAATCAAATTTTTGTTTTTAAAAATTCTCAATCGATTTTCTATGAAATCAGAACTGATTTTCAATTTGTTCAAACGTCAATGAAGAAATCATAAAGCTTTAATAATGATTAAGCTTATTTGAGATCGATTTTCCAATTTATAGAATTTGAAAAATAACTACAGTGTGAATAGCTTCTATATCTGTTATATTGAATAGACTTACAAATGAAGGAGAAGTTATTTTATTTTTATTTCATAATATTGATCAAACGGTTAAGTTTTGTAAATTATATTTATATTAGTCGAAGTCAATTTGATAATACTGTTTTAGAATAAACAAGTAACAACAAAAAATGATCAATTTTAAAGGATACTTGATACGTTCATGTTCGAAATGACTTAAAGTTAATAACCATAGAGCAATGATAAAAATATTTAAATAGATATCCATTAATTTCGGTAACTTTTTGTTATTATTTTACATTTCAGATCATAGATTAAAAAGTAGAAATTTATGTTCTTATACATGCATATAGATTTCTGTTATTTTTAAGATAATCAGTAATACTGATAGGATTATTTTACCCTTAGGTCGACGTTTAAAAAAAATGATGCTTTAGATTAGAATAAAGAAACTTTACTTCTTATTGGTGATATTCATTTATGTTATTAGATATTATAATAGGTCAAATCATAAAAATATTTTTTATTTTGATAAGAAATGAAATTAATTGAAAAGCAGCTTTTGTTTTGCAAAATTTTCAATATTATTAATAACAGTGATTTATTTTTATTGTAATTTGTTTAAAAGCAGTATATATTAAAATAAAAGTATATTGTTCAATCGATATTCAAAAAGACTATGAATTTTAACAATCTTGAGGGTTTGTTAAACTATCATGATATCGATATTTCATCTCAACAACGAGACTTTTCAAATGGCACTCGTAACAAATAAGTTTCAAAAGAAAAAATTCGAAGCTCTTATCCAAAGGTAATAATAGAAATAATATATTGAATCATTTGAATAGTATCACAAGATAAATAATTCGTCATTGATTAATATTCTTTTTGTATTGACATATTTTTTATGATGAAATATAAGAAAAAAATATCTATGAATGATTATGATAGTTTCTTGTGATTAAGTTCATCATACTATCGAAAATTGTCAATAGACTATAAATAAAATTGATAATAAAAATATTCATTTTTGATTCTATATGTTAACTTGATTTATTTGTGTACTGCTTTGAATTTCATTATATTATAAAGATGAAATTAAACAGTTTCACAAGGGTGTTGAAAATTTGAAGGTACATTAGAGAAGCATGTTTATTCGTTACTATTGTGCAATCGGATGACTCTTGATTTGAACTCAAAAATCATATACACTAAAAAAATAAGAGAATTTATCGAAAATATGGTTGAGTCGTTGATA